CAAATTAGGATGTAGAACATTGTCTTTATGAACTATATTGTGCCAGTTGACTGAGCTGCCCCATGAGACTATGATCCTAATCTCCCAAACCCAGTAAACCAACCTCACAAGGTGTTTGATTATGTCTGGAAGTATCCATAACTATGCCCCCTATGTGCTTTATTTTATATATGAATATATATACAGCACACATAACCATGTATATATACATATGCCTAGACATACCTATACATGAACATCCGTACATTCATATGTGCCTTCCTATACATATATATGCATATATATCTATATAACTACACATTTTTTAGTTGTTATTATTGTTGTTGCAAAATTATATATATGATAGCATTTATAAAATCGTCCCTTATTCTTGTGTACTTCTTAGTGTCAGCATTTACCTTTGTCAAGTTGTGCTGACTTCACCTTATTTGGTATTGCCTTTGTCACTAACGCTATTTGAGAAAAATTTAATGTTCAAGCTTGGTTCTTCCAGTGTTTTAGTGAGTTTCCAGTTGTTACAGGATCATCTACATATGTGAATTAATATAAGGAGCATTCATACAGGTAACTTCAAAACACACTTAAAAATTTGAACTTTAATCAGAAATTGTTTTAGTTGTTAAAGAAAATAGAATGCATATTAATTTAAAAATCTTAATTTGTCATTCAAGTTTGTATCATTTGTACAAGGTGAACGTCAGACATGAGAACTTGTTCCGCTATCCCTGGGAGCTAGCACTTCAAAATTAGGGAAAGCAGACACGATGTCATGAAAAGATACAAGTGGGACCCAGCATCATTTATGATGCTCAGAAGAGAACTGGGCTTCTTCTGACTGCTCATGCCTACAGATTAGGGCCACTTGCTGAAAGATTTTCATTCTAACAAAGGTTTCCACTGAGAGGCCACTAACAGGGAAATTCTCATTCCTTGTTGATGGAGAAACCTACTGTATTCCTTTCTGATTATTTTAACAGTCAGGCAAGGTATAATAAAGGACTCTCCAGTATATTATATTTACAATTATGTAATTATAAAATATATAATTATATTTTTCTATACCTCAACTTGATTTCAATTTCAAGTCCCCATTCTGTCAAGAAGGGAAAAATAATTCCAGTCAGTTCAGATTAATTTTGGTCGGGAGTTCCTCATCTTTGCCCCCCACTCCCCTTTTCCCCGGTTGCATTTAAGTTCTGGAGGTGTTGGTGGCAGGAGCTGCTCGTCTTCTGACTTTTCTATATTATATCCACTGACATGGCTGCATCCTGGCCAATGTTGGTTCATGCTGATGCTACCATACTCTCTCGTGCCTTCCTGCACAGACCTTTGTATGGGTAGCTCCCTCGGTCACATCTGCTCCATTCTTGCCAGCACAGGGAAATATTGTGCAGCCCCTTCTGCTGGAGTGCTCCTGGAACACACTGATGTGGAGGAACTCTGGAAAGCTTGCTGCCTCCCTACGTTCCACTTGAGATGCAGGTATCCTCTCTGTTGGATGCCTACCTGAGACTTTTATTGGATAACCACCACTGTGTAGAGAACTCATTGAGAGGGACCTGAGCTATACAAGATGGATCCTTCCTGCAAAGGACTCTGGGAGAGAACCAGAGTACCTTACTGAGCAGTGACCTGGGCCAGGAGAAAACAAGTCTAATGCCTGACTTCATGGTAGTGTCAATTGAAACCTATTAACTAGTAGAAAAAAACCCATTAACTAGTACAAAAACAAACCCATCCAGCATAGATTACACATTTTTCCTGTTTCCCTACACATATCCTTGCATGTAGTCATACTGCTCTCCCTACATGTTAGATGGTATATAAACCAACACTCCACACTGTCCTGCATGGACCTCTACCCGGGGGACTTCGGACATTGCTGTCTGTTGTGGGAATCTTGGTGCTGACCTCTGTCTGTAGGCCCCCTAATAAAAGCTAGATCTGATCAACCTGGCTTCTTCCACCTCTTTTTTCAGAATCCGACCTGTGCGCCTCAGAGCCACTCTTGCCGAAGGTCCACTGGGGTGTGACACCCATACTGAAGGCCACATTAATATCTTCGATATCTCTGCCTCTTGGTTCCTTTACTCTTTTTTTTTTTTTTAATTGTACTTCAGGTGAAGGCTTACAGAACAAATAGTTTCTCATGAAACAGAAGTACACATGTTACTTTATGACATTGGTTAACAACCCCACAACATA